AAGGTAAACATCTAAGTTGGCAAGGACGCGGTTCCTCATAACACAGTCTCCTTGCTCTATGCAATGGAGGGTAAGATTTAATATGGAGCCTCTATAGCTAACACCGCTCTCCACAGTGGCTGAAGTAGGAGTATCTAGTCTCTCATTCTCCATCATGTATTACTCTCAGCTTCACTGGTATAAGATCTGGCTTGATATGATCTAATGATGCATTCCAACTTTTACTGTATGCCAAGAATTTTTTTCTTCATTCAAAAGGTAAATATATTTGATTTTGCTTGAGAGACTTAAGTATTTAAATACTAATATTGTTTATAAAATACAATTTGACTAAAAATTTTAAGAAAAACATATCAGGATTTTATAAAGATACCTGAAAAAATTGTACAAGGAGAAAAAAAATCTGTTGTTTTGTTTTTATAGCACAGCTATTATCATTTTTGTCTTCAATTTTACTCAAATTTCCTTACAAGAGATGACAATAGTTGATAACTCAGCAGTGCTTGTTTATGGGGTAAACTTTTTCTGCAAAGGGCCAGATAGAAAATATTTTAGAGTTTGCAAGTCACACAGTCTCTAACACAATTTCTCAACCCTGCTGTTGCAGCACAAAATTAGCCAGTAGGTAATTAATGACCATTGCTCCACTCTAATAAAACTATTTGTGTCCTTCCTGAAAGGATAGTAAGTCAACTGGGAATATCAGGGGACAGACTTCCCAATCCAGATCCACTCCTGTTTAAATGTGGAAAGCACTTTGGGTCTTTGTGGTTTACTAGAAATTTGAGAACATTGACAGCATTTCCGGACTCACCCATTAGTTGGTTGCAGTTTGGGGGGGGGGGTCCCTTGAATCCTGAAAACTACTATAGAATCTGGAGTGCACAGGTCCATCTTCTACCTCTCTAACTCTACAGATTTATTTTGATACTACATATTCAGCCTGGTCTCCTATTATAATTTCTCCTCTTCTCATTTGTGAAGATGAGAACTTTTACTGCACCTCCTTTTGAGATCATGGTGCTATAGCCCAATTTAATTTACATAAATGGATTGTGACAAGTGTAGTATAATCAACTTTTTTTTTGTATTAAATTCTTTTATTGGTACATTGTAGATATACAACACAATTACATTTCTCATTGGGAATTGTACCTTTACATAATGCATCTTGGTTCTTATTTTTTCCCCATTC